AAGTGACAAGCTGATCTGAAAATTCACATGGAAACAAATGTAAGCTGGGACAAGACATTCTACCTTGAAAAGGACCAACACCAGAGAACTCACACTTGACCATTTTAAGACTGAATGCAAGCCTACCATAATTAAGCTAGTACTACTGTGCAGAAGAAAAGATATTTACATCAATGGACTAGATCCATAAGTAAACTCTTATACTTGGGCAACTGATTTATCTACAAGCACATAAAGACAATTCAATTGAGAAAGATCAGTAGATAACTAGACAGTCACAGGCAAAACCCCTGGAAGTTGGACACCCCTCCCCCATCACAAGTATTAATTCAAAACAAATCAGAAAGCTGGGTGTAAAGGCTCACACCTGTAATCCCAGCACTAGGAACACAAGGCAGGAGGATCTCTAGGAGTTTGGGGTCAGCCTGGGCTACAGCACATAGCTGTCATAAAAAAAAAAAAAAAAAAAAACACAACCAGAGCAACAACAACCATTTGTACGCAATATTCACCTCAGCGTGCGTGCTTGTGGCAACGTGCATTTGAATGCAAGTGCTCGCTATCTGATTGACTTTAATTTCCTTGTTTAACAAAATCCAGAACTGGAATTTTTAAATTAAAATTAATTTTTTACACTGGTACCAAAATGTAAACAATGACTAGACCAGGAAAAATGATCTCTGGAACCAGTATGAAATGATCCAGTCCTACCCCAAACAAAATAAAGCAAGTAACAGTGGGAATTTAAGTCTCTGATGCAGAACTTCAGCCACCCCCAAACCTGCACATGCAACTGCTGCAAAGGCCTCTAACTGCATCTTTCTGACTCACTCAAGAGTCAAATGGTCGTCAGAGTCACATACTCAAGGAGATGTTGGAAGTCTCTCAGAATAATGGTGAACACGAGACTTCTGGAAAGCTGAGGCAGCTGCAGGTGAGTCGAAATGTATTTAACAAACCATTCATTTAAGACAGCCTGTTAATTCACCGTTAGGAAGCAAGGGGGAGTATACAGGATTCTTGGGGAGGAACCTGAGAATACTACATTCTCAGAGTTGGGAAGAAAAGAAAAAGAACAATAAAGTGCTGAGGGCTCCACCCCAAGAACTGGCAGAGAGAACAGGAGTGTTCCCCAAGGGACGGGAGGGGCCCAGCCCTGATGAGTCAGAGTTCAAACAATGCAATGGAACACACCTATCTGTAGCAAATAGACTGCAGTCAAGACATTGAAATAATGGGCATAGGAAAAACAGTCCAGACAAGAGTGAAGCAAGGTAGGAGCAAAATGGACAAGGATTCACACAGCAAAGCAACATGAAAGACAAAGAAATATTAAAGACTAGGCACATAATTTGCCAAGTGATAAATTCATGGGACAGCTCTATGCCTTATTTAACTCTGAGACAGACTACTGATGACACGTAGATGTACGTTGGGAAATAGCCATAGTCAACACTGTGCATGTTCATCATTTTCCAAAAGAGCTAGAAAAATACTCTCCCTCATCCTTGTCTTTGACTATGCCCAGCTACCCATTTTGCAATTTTTTTTTCCATTTTGCAATTTTATCTTAATTTATTTATTTGTGTGTGTACATGTGGTGAGAGACAGGGTCTCATGTAGCCCAGGTTGGCCTCATACCCCTGATTCTCTTGCTTCCACCTCCTCAGTGTCAGGATTACAGACTGCACAGCCACACCCAGTTTATGCAGTGTTGGGGATTGAACCCAGGTTTCTTACAGAGGCAAGCTTCTACGGCTGAGCTATATCCCCACCACTATTTTGCAGAAGTTTAAAGAGGCAAAAAGTCCATGTCTTTTTCACATTTTAATGTAACACCTATAAGTAAAAGAAATTTAATTTTTATTTATTTTTTTTTTATTTTTTTTTTATTTTTTTTATTTTTTTTGGTTTTTCGAGACAGGGTTTCTCTGTGTAGCTTTGTGCCTTTCCTGGTACTCGCTTTGGAGACCAGGCTGGCCTCGAACTCACAGAGATCCACTTGCCTCTGCCTCCCAGGTGCTGGGATTAAAGGCGTGCACCACCACCGCCCAGCCTAATTTTTAGATGTTTAGCATCATAAAGGAGTTATTTGTATTCATCTGTCAAGATTATTTCCTATCATGATAGTTTTCCTACAGGAGCTTGTTAGAGTTAGATGAATTGAATAGATGTATGCTGTGGGACTGCCTGTAAAAAATGCACTTAAAGGGTTAGGGATACAGCTCAGTGGTGGAGTGTTTTGTTTATCATGCACAACCTCTTGGGCTTAATCCAGTGGTTCTCAACATATGGGTTGTGATCCTTTGGGGGGGCAAATGACCCTTTCACAGGGATCATCTAAGACCACCAGAAAACATAGATATTTACATTATGATTCATAACAGCAGCAAAATCACAGTTATGAAGCAGTAACAAAAATAATTCTGTGGTTGGGGTCACCACAACATGTGTTGAAGGGCTGCAGCATTAGGAAGGTTGAGAACCACTGCCTTAATCTCTAGCACTGCAAAAAAAGAGGCATGGTGGCTCACATCTGTAATCCCAGCACTCTGGGAGGCTGAGGCAGGAGGATTACACAGGGGTTAGGTCAGCCTCAGCTAGTTCCAGGCCAGTCTAGACTAGCAAGATACTATCTTAAAAAACAAAAACAAAGAATAACAAAAAACCCACCACCACAATTCTTCCCTATTAGGTAACCTAAATGTTGTCTTACAAGGATGCTGGGTAATTTTAAAAATAGCTTTCCTGGGCTGGAGAGATGGCTCAGTAGGTTAGGATGCTTTCCACCAAGTCTACAGATCTGAGTTCAACTACTAGATCCACAAAATAGAAAGAGAAAACTCATTCCTTCAAGTTATTCTCTGACCTCTACATGCACACTCACCCATACACATATATCCACACATATAAACAGAAAATTGATGAGTGAATGCAATAATAAGAAAAAAGCAAGTTTGGGGCTGGAGAGATGTTCAGTGGTTAGAAGCACCTGCAGCTCTTTCAAAGGACCCAAGTCTCAGCACCCATATTGGGTGGCTCACAACTATAGCTATACAACTCCCTCTCCTGGCCTCACAGGAAACTTTACACACAGTTGTGGTGATATATTTGTAATCTAAGAAATAAAGCTTGCCTGAAGATCAGAAGACAGAGCCAGCCATAGAGTTAAACACAGAGGTCAGGCAGTGGTAGCACATACCTTTAATCCTAGCACTCAGGAAGCAGAGATCCGTGTGGATCTCTGTGAGTTCAAGGCCACACTGGGCTACATGAAATTGATCCAGTCTAGGAGAGAAACAGAGCCAGGCAGTGGTGGCACACACCTTTAACTCCAGTATTTGGGAAGCACACACACCTTTAATCCCAGCACTAGGAAGGTTGAGATAGGAAGTGAAATGGCTGGGTGGAGAAAGGCATATAAGGTGTGAGGAGACAAGAACTTAAGAGCCTTTTCGGCTGAGGACTCAGGCATTCAGTCTGAGGATTTGTGGAGATCAGCTGAGGAGTTGGTGAGGTGAGATGTGGGCTGTGGCTTGTTCCTTTGTCTCTCTGATCTTTCAGTATTTACCCCAATATCTGGTTCTGGGTTTTTATTAAAAGAACATTTAGGATTCATGCACATAAAACATACACAGATACAAGCACACACACATTTTAAAAAAGAAACCCTCAAATTAAAAAAACAAACTGCTTTTACTGTATCAAGAGATCTACCTAATATACGTAAGTGTACCCTATATGTTCATATATTTGGTTCTTGTTTTATGTACTCTGATTTTACTTGAAAAAAATATTAATTTTTGATTATGTATGGGGGAAGAGTATGTGCAAGTGAGTGCAGGTCCCCTCAGAGGCCAGAAGAGGGCGTTGGAGGCTTTAGAGCTAGAGCTATAGGAAGTTGTGAGTTGTGTCACATAGGTACTGCATACGGAATACAGGTCCTGTGAAACAGCATCAAGTGGTCTAACCACTGAACCACCTCTCCAGCCTTTCCTGTAACTTCTACAGTATAACCTGCATATGAGCTAAGCCATCCTGCAGAATTTTCTATCTGGTTGTACTTTAAAGTAAAAGTCTACTACCCGTCCTTAGTTCTCTGTTTTCTGTTTCCTCATGTATGCCCACTTCTAAGTTATTTATGCTAACCACTACTTCTTGAGCTGTAACTTTAGCTGGTAAACTTTTTCCCTCTGAAAAGTAAAGTTCAATCTAAGCCACGTCTTCATGCATTGCTTGTTCTTGTTTATTGATTAAGAAAGATAAATGTAGGTGTCAGTATAGCCTAGTGGTCTAAGGCGCCAGACTCCAGAAAGATAAATGTATGTGGATGAATGAATTAGATACTACAATATGAAAGACCTAAGACTAGAAAAATTTCCTCAAACTCACCATAGGAAACATTAGCAAACTATGATGTGTTAAAGGCAGCTAAGGAAGGGTATCTTTTAAAAAGCGTGAATTATTTTATGGAATTTCACTCTAAAGACTTTAGGAGGAGCATTTTTTGCTGTCACCTGCACCCTGTAAATAAACTAGGTTTTAAATTTGCTTCAACAACTTGTAGTGTGAAGCAATGTTATACAAAGTCTCTGTGTAATAAACCTCACTAATGAATAATTAAGAAATAAATCTCACTAGATAAGTTGATAAATATAAGCGAAGTGTCTAAACTACCTAGTAAACTTTTAGGTCAACAGTATTGCATCTTTTTTTTTTTTTTTTTTTTTTTGGTTTTTCAAGACAGGGTTTCTCTGTGAAGCTTTGCGCCTTTCCTGGAACTCACTAAGTAGCCCAGGCTGGCCTTGAACTCACAGAGATCCGCCGGCCTCTGCCTCTCGAGTGCTGGGATTAAAGGTGTGCGCCACCACCGCCCGGCAGTATTGCATCTTTAAAGTCTGCTGATTATGTACCTCTAGAAACAATTTTCTCCTTGGGCATCCATTATAAAAAGGACCTGAAGCTGCTGAATAACAACATCCAGTCCTGGGCTTACTTACCTTTTTTCTCTCCAGTGTAGGGCACATAGTCTTCCCGGTCTTTATGCTCCAGTGCCTCCTTCTCTAGATAAGAAAGGAGACGTTCTCTATCAAAGGGTCCCGTGGCGGACTTTGAGGTCTGGTTCTTCTGCCGAAACCCTGCAGGCAGAAGGGCATTCTGCCAAAGAGAATGAGTCAGTCATTATGACCAGCAAACCACCAAGAATGCCAACACTCTATGCTTCTACGGATTTCCCAGGTAAGAAAGATCAAGAAACAGCAGGACACAGGCATCAAACACCTCATTGCAAGATGTTAGGACAGTCACATGAGATGTATTACAAGTTTTTGTATTTAAACACTGATTTATTGATTTTGGGTGTGGGCACATATAGAGGTCAAAGGACAACTTTGGGGAGTTACTGGTAACTGCCTTTAGTGCTGCCCCATCTGACTGGCTCACAAGTCTGTTTGTTTTCAAGACAGGGTTTCTCTGTGTAGCCTTGGCTGTTCTGGAACTTGCTCTGTAGGCCAGGCTGGCTTCAAACTCACAGAGATCTGCCTGCCTCTGCCTCTCAAAAACATGCACCACCACCACTTGGCAAGTCTAATTGTTTTTTAAGTAGGCAGAATTCACTTACATTATTATTAAAAATAGGCACCTACATATTTTCTTCAGATAGTATCCATCTAGGAGGAAACACCCATTAGCATTTTGTTTTTTTGAAACAGGCTCTTGATATATCACCACGACTGGCTTGGAATTCACAATGTGTACCATGCTGGCCACGAACTTGCTATGATCCTTCTTGCCGAGTCATTTTGCCTAACTTCACCCTTTAATTTTTAAGTGTCCATGGATTATTATTTTTCCAGGGAAGGTGTTTTACTTTATGTTGATATTTATATTCAAGTTGATATTTTTATTTTTCTCCAAGGACTATTAAGGAAAAGGTTTTCCTAGCTTGGCCTAGTAACACATACCTATGCTCTAGCTCTCAGGGAGCTGAAGCCGGAGGATAAAAAGTTTAATGTCCAAACAACAGCAACAACAATTTCCTTAATGCTTAATGACTGACCAGTAAACATGTACATAAACTAATTCTATCACAAAAGAACTTCAAACTACTATATAATATTCCTTGTAATGACTTCCATTTGATCACAGAGCTCTTATCAAGCTAAAAACATACACAGTCCAACATCAAGACTGTTTACTAGATTTAAATCTAGTACAAAACTGTCCACTGTGTATGTGTCCATATGCACACATAAGTGTTAGTGTATGCTAGTAACAGTTAATGTCTTTGCTATGCATGCCTCATGGTACCCAGAGATACAGAAGTCCTCTGGTGTCCACACCGCACAGCCTTGAGTACACGGACTGACTAGAAATAAAAAGGAGAGGAATGCTTGAAGTTGCCCCTGAAGTCAGGACTCTCAATTTGTATTAACAGAGTAACAAGACAAAATAAGTACCATCCTGCTTGTCAAAAGTCAACCTCAAACAGGGGCTCATGCCTGGACTCTCAGTCCTTGGCATAGAGACAAGAGGACCAAGAGTTCACAGCCAGGCCAACCTGGGTTACAAGAGATCTTGTCTTAAAGCAAAGCAAAGAAAAGAAAAGCAAAGACAGGTTGCCTTGCCTCATTTTCCTGAGTATTCCTTGTTCTACAATTGAGGCAGCCAGTGAAGGCAACACCTATTACTAGCAGTGAATGATGTTCAACCTCACAGATGGTATACATTTTCATTACAAAAGGTGATTTTTCTATGGACAATAATGGGAAATGATGATTTTATAACTAAAAATATCATGCTTACGCTTTGGCTATTTCCTGAAGTCCACAACAGTTTTCACAAAACTCTTTTTTTTTTTTTTTTTTTTTTTTTTTTTTGGTTTTTTCGAGACAGGGTTTCTCTGTGTAGCTTTGCGCCTTTTCCTGGAACTCACTTGGTAGCCCAGGCTGGCCTCGAACTCACAGAGATCCGCCTGGTTCTGCCTCCCGAGTGCTGGGATTAAAGGCGTGCGCCACCACCGCCCGGCTTCACAAAACTCTTAATGTAGTGATACTCATTACTTAGAAGGCTGATCTACAAGGATAAACCACAAAGATCTGTTCCTAACCCTGAATATTGTGTGCATTTACAATTAAGAAACTATCTGTGCAACTATAAAGAATAAACATAAGATTTCTACCTTTAGATGTTGAAATATGAGAACTGACAAACAGCCCATTCAGCCTGCAAAGTTTATCCAGTTTTACTTCCTAAAGAATGCAACCATCACTTCCTCATCCCCAATGCCAGTACTTGGGTGCAAGCTCTGATGTGAGCTTGGCTGGAATGTTACACTAGTGTAACTGACCTCAGGACATCAGGTGCCCTGGTCTCATCCTCCCTTCGTGCCCCGCCCCCCATCTGTTAGCCCAGGCTCAGCTCACACCTCCATTCTTTTTTTTTTTTTAAAGATTTATTTATTTATTATGTATACAGAAGAGGGAGCCAGATCTCACTACAGATGGTGGTGAGCCACCATGTGGGTACTGGGAATTGAACTCAGGAACTCTGGAAGAGCAGTTGGTGCTCTTAACCTCTAAGCCACCTCTCCAGCACACACCTCCATTCTTGATACACTATTTCCTTCCTTGTTCTTGTCATACACTCCTCCTTCAACTATGACCTTTAAATGTGTGAAATACGGAGATCACTTCCCCTGAAGGTTCTGTCCATCCTTTCCGGTTACTCATTCTTAAGACTCCGGCATTATGCCCCCAAGGAACGTTTTTCCTGATGTCTCATTCATAAGTTACTGTCTGTAGCACTCATCACTCTTTTAACACAGTTTTGTTATCTGATTCAAGTCTAGTTTTCTCCATTCCTACCAGCCTGCATCACGGGGCAAAAATTACATTTGTTTTGTTCACTCTTGCATTTCCTAAGTGTAGCATAGTAGCCAGGACCTGTAGGCTGTCCCCCAACACTTACTGAATAAAGATTTCAGAGCTGGGGACTGAAGTATATACACCCACGTGTAGGGAGCAGAGGAAGCCCTAAGTGAGTGAAGTCCTGAGTGAATGTGTTCTGTTGACATAGGCATGGCCATGTTAAGGACCCCATAGTCTTAGACCCAGGGAGAAAATGGTAAAGCCTTCTCCTTGGGGGTGGGACTCAGAAGGAAATAGTGAGCCCTATTGTTTCTATGTGTGGATGTTGACAGTGTGTAAAAAAATGTCTACCATAGTTTTCTTCCCCTGGATATTCATAGCCTGAAGACTGCTCCCCAATGGAGATTGCTCCTACTGAGGCAAAGAGTTGTTAAACATCCTGTAAAGCACAGGACAGGCCCTCAAAAAAGTCATTGGCCCAGGTGAAAAACCCAGGCTAGACAGCTCTTACATGCTTTCTGGTTCGTAAACCATTTTATTTAAATTGGTCTCATCAACTGACTGCCAAATATACTGTTGACAGCTCTATTATCCTAAGTAATCTCTCAGACTTAGGTATGAGTAGTTTTCCTCGTAATAGTAATTATGGTCAAAGGACTTGACCTGTGGTATAGACATACCAGCTAGCAACAAGAACAATTTTTTTTTTTTGGTTTTTTGTTTTTTGTTTTTCGAGACAGAGTCTCTCTGTAGCATTGGTACCTGTCCTGGACTAGCTCTGTAGACCAGGCTGGCCTCAAACTCACAGAGATCCACCTGCCTCTGCCTCCTGAGTGCTGGGATTACAGGCGTGCGCCACCACCGCCCGGCAACAAGAACAATTTTATAAAGCACATTTTTAGCATGCTTGAGGCCCTGATTTTAATTAATCCCAGTAACTCTCCTTTCCCTAAAAGCTCATGATACCTCAATTCTTAAAGGGCATATAAAACCAATGGCTTTAAGAAACATGGTAAAGCTTTGCCAATAACCACCACTTTGCAGTTCTTCCTGCTACCTCCTTGAGTCACACTCAAAGGTTAAAGGGTCCTACATTAGCCTTATGTAGCCTTGTACGAGACAAGTAACAGCCGCTTGGCAGATACAGACAAGGATACATCTACAATGTTCTGGACTTACCAATGGTTCAACTCTAAAATAGTGGAGAAGTGCACCCACACAATCACTGATTTTCATTTTCACTATAGCACACAACCCACACAACGTATTCAATACTTTGTTACAAACTAGGCTTACATTAGATGATTTGTCCAAATGTCATTTAAGTGTTCTGAGCACACTTAAGGCAGTATAGGAAAAGCTATGTTAGTAGGCTAGGTATATTAAATGCACTTCAATGTATAATACTTGCAACCTAGGATGGGTTTATCAGTTAAGAAGTATCTGTGTTCAGATCTGCATCTTAGAACTGTTCTACCAATGCTAATGACTTCTACCATTTGGTCAACTTTTCTCAAGGACCGTTATAATTAGGTTTAGGCCATTAAGAACATTCTAGAGGCACAGTATACTGGCACCAGCCTGGTACAGAAACTCTGAAGAGAAACAGATTAGCATCAATTAAAGAGCTAATTAGCTATTACTACTTTCAATTGCACAGAGGGAAGATTATAATAGAGAAAAAATTGTGTAGATGTTTAACGATAGTTTAGAATGCCTGTATCATAAGATGTGGAGGTAGATATGGGGACCTGGAGAAGCAGCAAAATGCCAGTTCATCTGAATAGAAAGTGGGTGAAGGGAACTGGGGAAAGCCATGAGAAAGCAAGCTGGCAGTCTGAAAAGCTATCGCATTTCTCTTCCTGGACTAGCACCAACCTCAGGGTCAAGATCATCCAGGACAGTTTCGAGCTGTTTCAGCTCTGATTCTGACAGATTGCCTAGGAGCTCATCTTCATCCAAGTCCTTATACTCCCCCAAGTCCTTCCGGAACGGCAGTGCCATGGTTAGCAGTGTAGGAAGTCACGTGATTTGCCCCACTTCTGATAGCTATGGAGGAAAGAAACAATCATTTAAACATAAATCTTATCTAGTTGTATCTATTATTGGGGAAAGGGAAATGTTACATCCATTTGTCATACATTCTTGATCATATCATATGCTACTCTTAGCTACAGATCATTCATGCTTTCATTTTTTGTCTCTGTAGAAAAATAAAGTGGGAAAAAGGAAGTGAAAATGAAAACCATTAAAACAACTACTTACAGAATTACAATTTCTGATAACTGAATTTCAGTGGCAAAATAAAATAATTTTTTTTTCCCAAACTAATTTCTATCAGTGATGTCGTTTTCCCAATGGACAACATTTGTTTCTATCAGTGATGTCAAATTGTCCCAATGGACATTTGTTTCACTACAAACTATTTAGGAGCACAGTATGACACAATATCAACATAGGAGAACAGTAATAATGTGTCACAGGAAGGAGTAGTCTCCTGCCTCTGGGAAAAATTTTTTTAAAAATACTTTTTTCAAAAAGATTATTTTAGGAGATGGAGAGGATGGCTCAGCAGTTAATACTCCCTGTAGAGAGTTTGTGGTCAGTTCCCAGCATTCACATGGGGTGGCTCACAAGTGCCTGTGTTCCAGATGATCTGGCACTCTCTTTTGAGTTCCAAGAGTTCTGGCACACATGTGATACACACACATACATGCAGACAGACACTCACAGGTATACATAAAATAAAAACAAGGGCATCTTTAAAAACATTTTTAAAGGAAAATAGTATTTTGTTATTTGTTCATGTAAAGGTTTTTTTTTTTTTTTTTTTTTAAGACAAGCTCTCACACTATAGCCCAGGCTAAGCAGGAACTCTCTACACAGACCAAGCTAGCCTTGAATTCAAGGTGAGTCTTCTGCATTGGCCTCCCGAGTACTACGAACACAGGTGTACACTACCATATCCAGCTGAAAATATGTTTTTAAACGACAATAAAAAGGCATTCTCAAAAGTCTGAACTATAAGCCAGCCAATTAACTGTTTTCCTTTATAAGAGTTGCCGTGGTCATGGTGTCTCTTCACAGCAATAGAAACCCTAACTAAGACATATATACTCAACTCTATTAGGTAATGTCAAATGATGTTCAAAGTGACTATGCCAATTTACATTTGTAAAAGATTCCATACATGACAAATCATGTTGCTCTTCTTTGTTTATTTTAAGTATTATCAGACTTATGCTTTTTGACATTTGGAATATGTGAAATGGTATTTCACCATGGCTTTAATGTGCATTTTTGTTAAATTATGACAAGATTATGCCTTGTTTCACATGTTCACTTACCAATGGCATTCCTTTTTCTTTGTGGATAACCTACTGCTCATTTTTACAAAACACATCATCTTTTGTGTGTGTGGCATATGCACTTGTTAGTATGGATGTACACCCATGTGCAGGTACGCATGCACATGCATGTCAGGGCCAAAGGCTGATGTGCAGTATGTTTCCTTGATCCTCCATCTTCTTATTTATGAGATAGTCTCAAAACAAAACAAAACCTGGGCCCTACTGAAGTGCAATGATTCGGCTACACTGGCTGGCCAATGAGTTTTAGGGATCCATCTGTCTTTCCACCCCCAAGCAGTAAGGGTAGGAGGATATTTATGGGCACTCACCACCATCCCAGCTTTTTATGTGTGTTCTAGGAATCTGAGCTCAGATCTTCATGCTGTGATGGGGCAGGCACTTTATCTTCTCAGCCACCTCCTTAGTCTAGTGGCCCTTTTTTGTTGTTTGTTTAAGAAGTCTTTAATTTAGTCTAGATATTAATCTCTGTTATCAAGTTAAATTTGACAACTCATTTTCCATATTCTGATCAGGTTTCCCTCCCCATCTCCTTCCAGTTCTTCTCCACCCACCCAACTCTACACCCTTCTCTCTTTAGAAAACAAAAGAGCAAATAAAAAAGCAAACAAACTAGAATAATAATAATGATAATAATAATAATAATAATAATAATAATAATAATAGGAAAAAACAGCCAAGCAGCAGTGGCACAGGCCTTTAATCCCAGAACTCAGGGAGGCAGAGGCAGGTGGATCTCTGAGCCCAAGGCCAGCCTGGTCTATAGAGCAAGTCCCAAGATAGCCAGGGCTACATAGAAAAACCCTCTCAGAAAACAACAAACAAACAAACAAACCCCAAAACCAAAAAAAAACCAAACAAACAAAAACAACCCAAACAAACCAAAATATGGAAAAAGCAAAAGAAACACACACACACAAATAAAACCCATAAAAACACAAAATCAGGAACTATAGCATACAAGCAAAAGACCAGTAAGATTAAAATAAAACAAAACAAACAAAAATGCCAAAACAAAGCAACATGAGACACAACAAAAAACTCTACAAAGCGTCACCCAGTTCATTTTGTGTCGGCCTTCTACTGCTTGGCATGGAGCCTGCCTTCAAATGTGGTTTGAACACCCAGTGAGACTCTAGTGCAGAAAACTAATTTTTCCTTTGCAAGTGATTGTCAATTTGGAGACAGCTTCTTCTTAGTTAGGGATGGGAGCCGAGTCCACTTCTCCCTCTCAGCTCTGGTGTCCAGTCTGTGGAACCTGCGCAGGCCCTGTGCATGCTGCCACAGTCTCCGTGAGTTCATAAGTGAGTCAGTCCTGTTGTGCCTGGAGGACACCATCTCCTTGGTGCCATCCACCCCCTCTGGCTCTTACAACTTCTCCGCCTCCTCTTCTGCACAGCTCCCGCAGCCCCGAGGGGAGGGATTTAATGAAGACATTTAGGACTGAGTGTTCCAGTCTCACCCTCTGCACATGGTCCAGCTATGGATCTCTGTATTAGTTCCCATCTACTGTAGGAAGAAGCTTCTCCGATGATAGCTGAGCAAGACACTGACCCATGGTGCGCTGGCTAGTTTTATGTCAAGTTGACAAAGGCTAGAGTATTCTGAAAGGAGGGAACCTCAATTGAGAAAATGCCTCCATGAGACCCAGCTGTAGGGCATTTTATTAATTAGTGATTAATGGGGGAGGGCCCAGGCCACTGTGGGTGGTGCTATCCCTGAACTGCTGGTCCTAGGTTCTGTAAGAAAGCAGGCTGAGCAGGCCATCATGAGCAAGGCAGTAAGTGACCCTCCTCCACAGTTTCCACCAGCTCCTGCCTCCATGTTCCTGTCCTGACTTCCTTCAGTGATGAACAGTGATGTGGAAGTGTAGGCCAAAAAAATTCTATCCTCTCCAAGTTGCTTTGGTCATGGTGTTTCATCACAGTAACAGTAACCCATCTAAGATATAGGAGTATAGCAGAATGTCAGTTAGAGGTCATTTTACTGCTGTGTTCCTTCAGCAAAACAATAGTATTTGGTTTTCCCCTAGGCCCATGGCCTATCTCGTCCCAGATTCTTAGCCACCCAAGCTGGTCAGGCATGGGTTCCATCTCATGGAATGGCCTTAGATCCAATCAGACAGTGAATGGTCACTAGTGTATCAAGCAAGAATGTTACTGCTGTAGATCACAGGGTCTGTAACTGTGTTCTATTAACTCTTATGACTTTTTATGTGTCATAGGGGAACATGAATCTATGGCTTTTATTTCGGCTTATTTGTTTTTCCTTTTCAAAACAATGAAGAAGCCATTTCCCTGAGATTCAGATGATGGAACTTTTGCCAAGATGAAAGAACTGCCAGTTAACACAGCCAATTTTTCTAGAAATTCCGATTCTATTACGGCAAAGTGTCAACAACCAGTGTTCATGCTACCTAACAATGCTCAAAACTCACACGGGCACTCTCTTTTATTCTGTGTTCCCACTCCTAGAGTCTCTCCTTGATTGTACATTTCCCCTCCACTCTTCTTTACTGAGGGGCACTGTACACTGACAGGGTCCCGGGACAACAGGGTTCAGAACCTGCTCTGGAAGCTGCTTTCCTGTGCTTCTGTTCTGAGTATGGTAATGTTATCTCTTGCCTGTCCTGAGAACACTTCACTGGAAAAGAAAACAAATTCTGCATGGCAATGAGGGAAAACCAATATGCTGGACATGTGCAGCAACATGGACTGAAGGACATTATATTTAGTGCAATAAGCCAAACACAGAAAGTCAAATAGTGTAGGTTCTCACTCATAAGCACAAGTTACAAAGTTAATTTCATAGACATTGAGTAGATGTTTGTACAGGCTAGAAAGGCTATACTCAGGAGGATGGTAATGGGGACTAAAATACAACTAGTTAAGGATAAGTCCTTGTGCTCTACAGCAGTGACTTGAATTTGGCCTTCTGCCTGGTTATATGAATGTAAACTGGAACAGTTACATTATTCATGGAGGCATTGTCTATTCCTGTTCATGTGCCCCAATGGGAGAGCTGAATAATTATAGTGGCTCACAGAGGCTAAAACATTTACTATTGTCCCTTCACAGGGGAAAAAAAAAAAAGCTGCCAACGTTTTGAGAAAAGTGCAAATACCTCGGTACAAATCACAGTTTACAAACTGGTTATAGCTAGCTTTCCAGTATTATCTCCAGCTGTTCCCTATCACAGTATCCATGGCTCTGAACAGGACACAAACTCTAGATCCCTCCATCCTTGCTTACCATGAAATACATTCTTTTTTGTTTGCTTATTTATTTATTATGTATATAGTGTTCTGCCTGCATGTACACCTGCAGGCCCGAAAAGGGCACCAGATCTCATTACAGGTGGTTGTGAGCCACCATGTGGTTGCTGGGAAATGAACTCAGGACCTCTGGAAGAGTAGTCAGTGCTCCTAACCACTGAGCCATCTCTCCAGCCCCCATGAAATACGTTCTTTAGCCATGTCTGTTTCCTCAACTGAAGCCCTAGACATTCCTCAAGGCTCACTGAACATAATAACATCCCTAAAATTTTCTGAGGCTCCATTCCCACACAACCACAATCTAAGTTACTTGCACCTGTACCCATGTATTCTACTCTTGCTCCTGTGGATATACTGTTCATACTGTTATCTATAGCTACTCGTGCCTCTTGTGACCAGATCCCATC